ACTGAGCTGGCAGAGTCTGGCGCTTGGCTCGCATGGTGGTGGGTGGGAAGGGGGGTGGAACCTCCTGGCTCCAGCTGTGGTATGGATTTTCGAATCAAAGCATCTCACTGTCCTGTATCTCAGGTACTAATGAAAAACCAATAATGCCAAGGACCCAAGGGTTTGCAGCATGAATTTAATAGCAAAACAAACAAAACTGCTAAAGAAACCACTCTGAGCATTGGCAACTGCATTGCTTTTAGCCAGGGACAAGTGATCAGTGATTTCACCTCTGGAAAGCTGATAGAAGGTTCTCAGTGTTTCTACACACAAGAAAATGATACATTTCTAAGGGGATTGAAGACGATTGATTGCAGTAATTTAAGAAGCAACACAGATTCTGGCTGTGGCTTTGGGCAAGTCACTGGATCTCCCTATACCTAATCTTCTCATCAGCACAACCGGTGTGCTGTATGTCCACTGCCATGAAGTCACTGCAAGGATTCAGGCACTTCTCAGAAAGCCACAAGTCTCTTTTCAAGAGTACATCATGGGAAAAACTGGAAGTAGCAACACTAACACACACCCTACACAAACACCCACCTGAAAAAAAATATATATACATGCATTGTTCTCATGGTTCTTTTAAAGTGTTACATAAATCTTCCCATCAAATCCTACACTTTACAATAAGAAAGAGGAAATGTGACAGTGCATCACCTCAGTCAACTCCAGAAAGGCTTTTATGCCAGCCAGCATTGCTAGCACTTTGGAAGGACTCCTGGCTGTGATGGAGGGAGGGGATGTCTGGACTGTTATTGACTTTCCAATTGCACTTTGAGCCTCTTTCCAACCTCTTGCACGTTTTCTGCACTGTAATGAACAGAAGATGTAGTCAGTGACCTGGCAGCAGGCTTGGAGAGCCAGGAGCGGAGGGAGGCACTCACCTTCCCCGCCTCCTCTTCCCCACCAGGCAATAGTGTGCCATTTATTTGTCATGCTGATATTAATGTACAGCCCTCAACATTTTCAGCAGGGCTAGTTCAGGTGTTAGGCAATAAAACATAGCTGCCGTTGTAGGAACAGTGATAAGCCCCAAATCCACTGATGATGCTGTTGCAGTATCAGTGCTCTCTCCAGAGTTACAGCTCTGTACCTTTTTCTCCAATATCATCAAACTGTGTCTGCCTCAGACTTGTGCTGTACACCAGTGAAAAACATATGAGATGCTACATCATCTTGACTAGCCGACAATCTTTCTTCCCTTTGGAACTGTCTGATTTGATATGATTTAACAACCTCAGAGCTACTTGGAAATTTGGTATAAAACTCAGCTCTAGAACTATATAGAGTTGTTATTTAGGACTTTGATATCAGCTTATAAAATCACATGGGAAAGATTGTT